ATATATATCCCTCTCCTTGTACTACCTGATATATATCCCTCTCCTTGTACTTCCTCATATATATATACCTCTCCTTGTACTTCCTCATATATATACCTCGCATTGTATTACCTGATATACATCCCTCTACTTGTACTACCTGATATATATCCCTCTCCTTGCACTACCTGATATATATCCCTCTCCTTGTACTACCTGATATATATCCCTTACCTTGTACTAACTGATATATATACCTCTCCTTGTACTACCTGATATATATCCCTCTCCTTGTACTACCTGATATATATCCCTTTTCTTGTACTACCTGATATATATACCTCTCCATGTACTTCCTGATATATATCCCTCTCCTTGTACTACCTGATATATATCCCTCTCCTTGTACTTCCTCATATTTATATACCTCTCCTTGTACTACCTGATATATATCCCTCTCCTTGTACTACCTGATATATATCCCTCTCCTTGTACTACCTCATATGTATCCCTCTCCTTGTACTTCCTCATATATATATATCTTTCCTTCTACTACCTCATATATATCCTTCTCCTTGTACTAACTGATATACATCCCTCTCCTTGCACTTCCTCATATATATCCCTCTCCATTTACTACCTGATATATATCCCTCTCCTTTACTCCTGTATCATGTGGTCCCCCCTGTTTAGCTCTAGCCCCTCCTCCTCCTCCTTCCTCCTTGGCATCACTTCTTGACTCCCAATAGTCCCTGTTCAGATATTTGGCCAGCTCAGGGTCTGATTCTTCAGGGGACTTCGTGGTTACACTGGAAACCTGAAAACATAACTTGCAAAAAATCTGTAATAACAACAGAGTTCGTCAAAGGGAGGTGACTGCTTTATAATTCAAAGAGAAGTTGAACTGATTATCACATGAAAAATATAACAACTGTAGCAGAGAAAATATCGTCTTTCTTGTCAAGGAAGAAATCCACCAAGTAGATGTTACAAAATCCGGAAATCAGTAGTTCCGGAGACGAGAACATGGAAAGTAGTGTGTCTATTTATAATGTACTTCTAAACCACCCTTTTATATAACAAAACTAGCTTGGGAACCCAGCGTTGCCCAGGGTAGTCATAGATAGTTCCGACGTTTACCCACGCTTTGTCGTAAATAACGATTCTATATTTTCACCTATAACAAACTTAACTTTTAATTTCAAAACCAAGTTAGGAACATTCCGTGGTTCTCCTGAGTTCCCCAATCAAAATTTGAGGCAAATCAGTGCAGGGGTTACTGAGTTAAGATCGAACAAAGAAACAAACAGAGATTACAACTTTATATATATAGATAAATAAGCTTAGCTTTACCCTTTGTTCAAGAGATTCAAAATAGGTGAATAACATTGGAATATAGTTCAGACGTCCGAGAAAGATTGAAAATAAGTTTTTTCTTACACAAACAAAAATATCCCCCCCCCCCCACTATATAATATACCCATGTTGGGCCTCTGCCTAAATTCCTATCTAATATATATATATATATCATTGTCTACTAATTTTTGAGGATGAAGCCTAGGCTCGTATTGAACAATGTCCTTCACCTTAGTTTTGTTTTCTAGTCCAGCAAGAATCTGACTTGTTGCTTTCTTCTTCATTTTCTCCTTCTCCTCAGCCTCCGACCTAGAAGTACCAAGTTTCACTACAACTAAGTGTATAAATCAAAACATAAAACATTTGTATGGTAAAAGCAAACAATTAAACTTTTTTTTTATTTTAAATTTTAATGCTTTCAGTTTATTTGAAAATATTCCTACTTGCTGACATTTGTTTGGTAAAAGCAAACAATTCAAATTTTTTTAAATTTTAATGCTTTCAGTTTATTTGAAAATATTCCTACTTGCTGACATTTGTATGGTAAAAGCAAACAATTCAAAAAATTTTTAAATTTTAATGCTTTCAGTTTATTTAAAAATATTCCTACTTGCTGACGTTTGTTTGGTAAAAGCAAACAATTCAATTTTTTTTAAATTTTAATGCTTTCAGTTTATTTGAAAATATTCCTACTTGCTGACATTTGTTTGGTAAAAGCAAACAATTCAAAATTTTTTTAAATTTTAATGCTTTCAGTTTATTTAAAAATATTCCTACTTGCTAACATTTGTATGGTAAAAGCAAACAATTCATTTTTTTTTAAATTTTAATGCTTTCAGTTTATTTGAAAATATTCCTACTTGCTGACATTTATTTGGTAAAAGCAAACAATTCAAATTTTTTTTAAATTTTAATGCTTTCAGTTTATTTGAAAATATTCCTACTTGCTAACATTTGTTTGGTAAAAGCAAAAAAAAAAAAATTTTTACTATTAAAATTTTCAGTTTATTTAAAAATATTCCTACTTGCTGAGTGCTAGAACTAGTTGTAGTTCCTCCTCTTCTTTAAGCTCAGCTTCAGTCTTACCACTCTTCACAGGTTCCTAGAATTCAGTAAATATATAATCCCTTTTATTCATTTCAAGTCATCCATATACAATCCCTTTTATTCATTTCAAGTCATCCATATACAATCCCTTTTATTCAGTTTAAGACATTCATATACAGTCTATTGCATCCAGTTCTTCAGTTCTTATACAATCCCTTTTATTCAGTTTAAGTGAACCTTGAAAACGTTTACCCCGGTTCAACAAACCCTTTACGTGAATCAGGCTCAAAAGTGAAATAAAAATCAAGATAAAATCCACGGACGTAAAGATTAAACAATCCAGTAATTTGTATTTTATCTCAACAGTTTTAATTCTGAGCTTTAACTTTAAAAACCTAAAAAAATTTGATAAAATTTGAACATTAAAATAAAATTCAAGCTTGGGCTTTATAGTGTGGTATATTCCTAGAGAACGATTTTTAGAGCAAAGTTATCGATAATTTCCTAGAGAACGATTTTGGACCCCATCCCCCGGCCCCACCCCTCCTATCAATTTTATACATGGATCTTAAATGTAAGAGGATCTTAAATGTAAGACATGTGTCCGCAGCGCTCGGCCCCCTAGCCTGTCGTAGCCGCAGCGCTCGTTCCAGAAAGTGTCTTAACTTAACCTAATCTGCGGCCGCAGAGCTCGGCCCCCTAGCCTGTCCTAGCCGCAGCGCTCGGCCCAGAAAGTGTCTTAACCTAACCTAACCCTATATAATAAAAAAATAAATAATAATTTTGTTTGTCTGTTTGTTTGTTTGTATCCAATAAACGTCAAAACGGCTGAACCGATCGGGCCCAAATTTTTTGTGGGACATCTAGGGAGCCCAGGGGGTCCAAAAATCGTTCTCTAGGACGGACCCGATAGTGTTCTAAATGTTATCATCAAGATAAAGGTTCATCCTTTAATGATATTATAAAAATACTCTTAAATATATTAAAAATAACCTGTAGCATTTTGCTCAATAGTTAATAAGTGAGTTAGTCTAAATCTTCAACTATCAAACACGGAACACATTCACAAAAAGATCTGATGAAACAATGACTATGTTTATACTCAATCAGCTGTTCTAAGCCTGGTATAGTGTACACTCTGATACTACTGCTTGGAAACTTTCCTTAGATGACCTGAGACAGGTATTCCAGTGAAGGAATCTACCATTTTTCGGTACAGTCCAGTGAAGTAATCTAACGATTTTAAAATCATTCCAGTGAATGAATCTACAAATTTTTGACCATTCGATTAAAGAAATATTATATTTTGAGATCATTTCAGCATAAAACTCTACCAATTCTAAGCCATTTGATGGCAGAAATATTCCTGTTTCAATGTTCAAAGAATATTTCCATTTTTAGACCATTCTTGATGGAATCTGTAATTAGACCATTCTTGATGGAATCTGTAATTAGACCATTCTTGATGGAACTGTAATTAGACCATTCTTGATGGAATCTGTAATTAGTCCATTCTTGATGGAATCTGTAAATGTCAATTCAAATCCATTGAAGGAATCTCCCTTTTTTTGCGGACAAATCCAGAGAAGATATCTACTTCATTATTACATAATTAAACTGAAGGAATCTCCCTTTTTTGCGAACAAAGCCAGAGGATATGTACCTTATTATTACATCATTAACCTGAAGGAATCTCCCTTTTTGTAGACAAATCCAGAGAAGATATCTACCTTATTATTACATCATTAAACTGAAGGAATCTCCCTTTTTTGCGAACAAATCCAGAGGATATCTACCTTATTGTTACATAATCAAACTGAAGGAATCTCCTTTTTTACGGACAAATCCAGAGAAGATATTACATACTTAAACTGAAGGAATCTCCCTTTTTTGCGAACAAATCCAGAGGATATCTATCTTATTGTTACATAATCAAACTGAAGGAATCTCCCTTTTTTGCAGACAAATCCGGAGAAGATATATTTACATTTTTATTAAATACTTAAACTGAAGGAATCTACAATTTTACAGAAAACAAGCTGAAGTGCCCGGCGTTGCCCGTGGGATTAAAGAATAAAAAATAAAAATAATTTTTTTTTAGCCTATGTTACCCCCGGGATACCCCCATGTTTCCTTAAAAAAATGTCAGCCCATTCGGTCCAGCCGTTTAGCCGGCTATAGGGATCATATATACGAATGTCTTGTTTTATATTATAGTAAAATATCTAATAATGATTGGCAGATCCTGATCTATTGAGTCAATGATCAATTAAGAGAAATTTGACAAACGCGGTTTATAAAATTAATGAAGGAATATATCTGAAGTTGACCTGTACATTGTATCGCGGAGACTAACCTGTGATTGTTTAGATAATGGCGAAGCAAGATATTCAGCTGGTAGATCAGATTCAGTTGAACTCTGAGCAACCTAGATACAATCAAAACAATAAACTGTGTCAGTTTCTTGTGAAAAATAGACAATTGCCCAAGAAAGTTACGTGCACTTGCCGCGTTGAATTACAAGAATAGAGAGCTTAGTATACATTTTATGTTTAGGTTAGATTAAGACACGTTCTGAGCTGAGCGCTACGGCTAGGACAGACTAGGAGGGGCCGAGCGCTGCGGCTAGGACAGGCTCTCTTTCTGTCTTGTAATTTAACACGGCATGTGCACGTAACTAACTAAGGTCTCTGCCTGAAAAATATGAACAGATGAGATCTCCGACTATGTGCGTAATAATTTTCTATTTATCAGAATAATAATCTAACATGAAACATCTAGCGGCCAAACTGTCGTCCGTAAAGTATAAATCTTAATTTTCTTGAACAGAGTTAAAAATTCTTTGGGTTCAACAACATAACATCAAGTATGCAGTAGTACAAACAAGGAGTCGAGTATTTATTTAAGTACACCAAAAAATTTTCTTTTTAAATGTTAGTGAATTACAAAAAAGCAAAATATTGGGTCAATTGCCGTTCTTGATTTTTGTTTCATTGTCCATTCTATTTAACATTTTTGGAAGTTATTCCTTCTGTATAGTATATCTATATATAAATTTGGCTTGTCTGTTTGTTTGTTTGTCTGTTTGTTTGTTTGTATCCAATAAACGTCAAAACGGCTGAACCGATCGGGCCCAAATTTTTTGTGGGACATCTAGGGAGCCCAGGGAAGGTTTATGAATCATCAAAATTTCAAATATTTGTCTCTATCAAAATTCGATCGTCATTAAATTTTTTAAAATTTTGAAAATCCGCGAAATTTTTTGTAAAAATCCGCAAATTATTTTTGTTTAGTTTTACGATGTACACAAAGAGAACATGTTTACAATTAATTTAGAAGATGGGCGCGAAGCGCCCTCTAAGGCTAGAAAGAAGGGCGCGAAGCGCCTTGAATTTCTAGTATTTAATAATTCAGTTCCTGAGTAGAATTAAATTTAAGACAATACAAAAAAAAAGCCTAGTTTATCTTTCAAAAAGAAAGATTAAGATTGAAGAAAATGGCTAAAATGTAGGAGATAAAAAAATAACAAGGGGGTTAAATTTTTTTAACCCTCTCTTCCACATTCCAAAGTTTCAAAAATTTGCATTAAAAAGTCATTTCTGATTAAGATAACCACCAACTAGTTTAACAACATGGAATTAATATTTACAAACCGGTTTCTGAATAGGAGCATCCTCGTCCTTCGGACCGTACTTGTCGTAGCAGGAGTCACAAACTCGAACCTCCCGCTCTATTCCAAACTTTGGTAGATTACTAGACTTAGAGCTACACTTACTACAGAACACCTTAAATAGTTCACAGTAATAAATAAAGGGATTGTTACAGTAATCAAAATACAGTTGCTTTGATACATAAGTGTCGGTTTACAAGAGAAACCATAACAACTGATGCTGGTTTTTAGTGTTAATTTTATGGGGACTTAAGGCGTAATTTCATGTGACGCTTCATGCAAAGATGACAATGCACGATTCACAACGGTACCCTTGAAACAATTATCTAATCAATAATGTGGAAAAAATTGTAATATTTCTAAGTTAAAAGTGTTGCGTTCTAATAATGTTTCCTGCAATAGAAACCTCAATGCTATTTTCTTATAAAGGACCACTTAAAATTAAGCTTACAGTCACTTCAAGTCTCCTTTTTTGATCTCACAGGTTCAGTTCAATCGCAACAAAAAACATTTTTTTTGTTTATTTTTTGTTGATAAATGAAAGTTATCTTTTTTCCATTTGGTCAATTTTCATCGTCACTTTTTGAAGGTTTCTATCGTTATATCCAAGTATATCCAAGAATCATGAGTGTTACAAAGCAACTGCGCAATATTTGCGTCTTATTTTGATGAATGCGCCATAAACCAGTTTCCTTACCTGACCGCAAGCTCTGCAATGATGTTGTCTAGTAAATGTTGAAAACTGAACCCGACATCTAAATAATAAATCATCAACGGTGTATAATATTTTTAAATGTCGGTGCTTTGAATAAAAATGTACTTCGACTGGCTCGTTTTCACACTTTTCGATATCCATGTTCATTTCACCTAATTCTGCGAAATTTTTGGCACTCCGCGTAGACATAATTCTGACAACTGGGGTACGATTATCTTAAGGAGGAATATTATATTTTGAGATCATTTCAGCATAAAACT